GCAAAGCCTTAAAAACCTGGCTGTTCCGACAGGCCTGGGGCTGATGAGTTCCCCACGCTCGAATGGTGTGGCTGTTGATTGTTTTTAAATTGTGGTATTGTTTTGTCCGTGTCTTTTTTTTCCTGTTTGTATCTCCCCCCCCCCCCCCCCCCCCCCCCGACTTGGTTTGTGAGCCGCCCTGAGTCCCTCTGGGAATAGGGCGGCATAGAAATACAATAAAATCGAAATCGAAAATCAAAATTCATGTGATCTTGATTCTATTCCTCTGTTAATGCAGCGTAGGACTGTGTTGGCTTTTTTGGCAGCTGCAGCACACTGTTAAGTTATATTTAAATGGTTGTCTGCTAGGACTCCAAGACCCATCTGACAATTACCAGGTACAACCTATTCTGTACTTGTACATTTGATTTTTCTTGCCTGTGTAAAACCTGTCTTTTCACATCACTGAATTGCATTTTGTTGGATAGGGTCCAGTGTTCAAGTCTGTTCAAGTTTGTCCAGATCCTTCTGGATCTTGAGCTTATCTTCTAAAGTGTCCGTTTTCCACTTAGCTTGTTGTCATTTGCAAATTTAATGAGTTCCCCTTCTATCCCTTCATCCAAATGGTTTATGAAAATGTTGAAGGGTACCGGGTCTAAGACAGAACCCCACAGCTTCATGTAGATCTACTGGTAGTTCCATTGAGGACAACGCATTGAGTGTAGTTGGTCAAACAATTTACACATCCATTTGGTGGTTATGCAATCTATCCCACGCTTTTCTATCTTAGCAAGTAGTAGTTTGTCATGTATTTGGTCAAATGCTTTACTGATGTCCAGATATACTATGTCCATGGCATTTCACTGGTTCACTAATTTAGTCTCTTTGTCAAAAAACACGGTAAGATTTGTTTAGCATGAGTGTTTTTGACAAACTCATGTTGTTTCTACTGGTAGTAATAGCTTTGCTTGTTCCTAGGATTTGCAAATCCATTATTTATTTTTCCAGGATCTTGGTACTGATGTCAAGCTGATTGGGCCATAGTTTCTGGATCCACCCCCCTGTTTTTTTAAGATTACAACCACATCAGCAATTTTCTAATCCTCCGGTAGATATGGTTTCATATCTTTCAAAGACATTCATCGAGGAAAACTGCTGAAGCCTCAATAGCAAGGTTCGAGCCCAAATAAAGTCATTTATTTTTGCCCGTTTGGGAGGGGACAGCGCTGGTCTGCAGAAGAAATACTGACCTCGGAATCTTTCTTATGTTCTATAAGTCTTGTCTCTAAAGATGGAAGATCCAACTGCCTCATTGTCAGTGCCCTCTGGTGGCCATGGATGGGAAACGCTTTCACAGCTCAGCTGTTTTGACCTTCACCTGCTGCATAAAGGCCAATATAGTGTTGACCATGATTATACATAGGCGTCATTGCATAAGGATGGGTAAGTGCAGATTGCAGATGGCTGCAGATAGGCTGACATGCACATATCATCCCAACTGTGGTGTGTAGGTGTGCATTCTGTGTGTTGATTGGCTGATCCGTCTGCCTGATCTGTGCTTTGCTGCTTGAGGGCTCCCCAGCCAGAATGTTACATGTGCAGAAATATAAATGGGATCCCTGTGCACCATCTCGGAAGGACACACCCTGATGTGCATTGCAGGAGTTGTCTGCTTGAGTCTTTGGGGGGGGGGGCGCTAAAGCAACATGCTGAGCTCCAAAGAAGCAACTGATGGTTTTTGTAACTTGGAAGAAAGCCAGCTGCAGTCCATCTCTGGAAAAGAGACAGTGCACCTTTTCCCTTTGCCTAACTTTCTAGATTCTTCCCAAAAGCTAACTACAACTGTGTTCTTGGTTGCATTCCAATCTTTTTGCTGCTTCATATTCTCTGAAAGCACAGTGCACCCATTGAACCAAGTGGGTTCTGCTGCAGTGAAAGTAAACCTTAAGAGTTTGGAAGGCTTACTTTTAAGACAGGATGCCCCTTCTTGTCCCCAGCATATAAAATGGGAGAAAGCCATAAAAATGGCACATCTTTTGTGAGCAGCAAGCCCGCCTCTTTGCTATAGCTTGTGAACTCTGAAGAGCTGAGATTCCTTTTCACTTAAATGATATTAGCTAAATATAGTGGATAAGACGGGTCTCTAGTCACATGGCTTCCCACACATTAAAAATGTCAATTTGATCTTATCTTTTGTGGGGTGAGGGCTGGGCCAAAGTGCTCAGGATTCCTTGAACCTGCCTAGATCCCCCCTTGCTCTTTTAAATGCCAAGGTTGTCTTGGCACATCAAAAGTAACTCTTCCTGAAGATCAGACTCCATCCAGTGGAACAAAGTACTAATGTGCAGACGGAGCAGTCACTGAAGTATCTGACTCGGAAGCAAGTAGAAGGATGGGCTGCTGTGGCCACCCTTCCCACTTTGCATGGCTGCAGGGGGCCACAAATCCCTCTGCCGGCTTTGCCCCCAAGAACACCAAGACCAGGCTAGGAGGAACAGGATTTATGTTGCATACTTAAAAACCACACTGCTTGGAAAGGAAGAAGAAGGAGGAGGAGAAACCAGACTTCAGGGCAGAATCTGCAAGAGGCAGGCCGGCCATTGACACAAAAGAGGAAGAGGCGAGGCAGGAGAGGACAAGGCAGGGCTCTGCTGGGAGGGGTCTGCCCCCACCCCCCGTGATGAAGGACTGGCACAGCTTACATGATGCTTGCTGGAGTGAAGACAGGGACAACACACAGGGTGTCCGTGATCTCCCAGCCACAGGAGAGGGGGGCACATGTGCTCTCCCGATCCTCTTCTTCCAGATACAGCGATTTCCCCTGGAGGAGCTGGACGGCTTCCCTGAAGGAGAAAGGAGCCAGCAGGGATGAGATCTCTAGCTGGGAGGGAGACCCTGCCCTGCAGAAAGCGGCAGAGTCTGACCGCTCCTTGAAGCCTTGGATGGCCCACACCAAAGGGGTGCAGTCAGGCGGGTGAGATTCTTGTAAGAGAGGTGGTGCTCCAGACTGTCCACAAAAGCCTTTCTAGTTGCTTGCACCTGACATCAGCTCAGCACCTGGAATGGGGCCAGGGGAGCCTCCCCACTCTGGGACTCAACAGGAGTTTCAAAAGTAAGGTTACCGCAGCTTCAGCCTGAGAGGTGGACCAGATCAGAAACAGCTAGAACTCCATTTTACTGGGACAGGAGGAAAACCTTCCTTGGTGGTTTTTGTTCCTTTGCTTCCCTCTCCTCTCCTCCCTCTTCAGGAGGCTGGCGTGGAAGGGAGCCAGCCTGAGCCTCTTCTGATGCTTTCTCTGCTGTTGGACTCAATGCAGGCGTCTGCGCCTGTTGTGTCCACGGCTTCTCTATCTGGTTTCTCCCAGCCGCCTCTTGGGCTCCCTGCAAGTAGCCTGTAATTCTTCTGCATTTTTAAAGAAGAGGGGAGGGATCCTAGTATTGCTAGAATGCTTTCGTTATTTCAGCCTTCTGTGGGATCTCCTGTAACAAAAGTGGTTCTGGCAATTTCAGGGCCAGAGCAAGATCCAGGCCAGGGTTTTCTAGTCTCTGGTGGCTTCTATTTCATCATTGGTGGCTTTGTGGGGTGGAAATGGAGGTGCTCCCCCCCCTTTCCTCCCACTCCGAAAACCATCTTACCAGGCCACTCTGGACATAGCATAGTGAATTGGGGTTGGGGGAGATCCCTGGAAAGAGGAGGAGGCCAGCACCGAGTGGGCCCCCATGTTCTCAAAGATCAGCCAGTCCCCGACCTGCAGCTCAGGCAGTTCCAGGCCATCTGCAATTCGGTCTAACTCATCACCAGTTGGTCCCCAGAAGCTGCTGTTGTGCAAAGGGAGATCTGGTGGGGGTTTCTGCAAAGAGGAGAAAAGGACGGTAAGCAGCCAGATCTTCTGGGATCCTCACAGCTACAGTTCAAGCGGAACTTTCAGCTGACTTTCCCAAGACTGTACAGCCATCATCTAGGTATAGTCCTCGATTTACGACCACAACGGAGTCCAAAATTTCCATGGCTGAGCAAGATAGCTGTTAATTAAGCTTTGCACAATTTTTCTTGCCACAGTTATGAAGCAAATCACTGCAGTTAAGTTAGTAGCCCTCTTGTTAAGCGAATCCGGCTTCTCCCATTGACTTGACTAGTCAGAAGGTCGCAAAAGGGGATCACGCAACACTGCGACCATCATAAGTAGGAATCAGTTGCCAAAGGTCTGAATTTTGACCATGTGCTGCAATGGTTGTAAGTGTGAAAAAGAGCCATGTGATTTTTTTCAGTGCCAATGTAACTTTGCATGGTTACTAAATGAATGGTTGTAAGTCAAGGGCTATTGTATTCTGAGACATTTTATAAATTCTCAGAATCCTAAATCCTATTTGCAGAACTTTTATATATTCTTAGGTATTCAGAATGTCTGTGGCAGACAATTTCCAGTATTGTAAGGTTAGCTACTGTCCCTTTGGATGCTTCGGCGGCTCCGCAGGAAAACGGCTGCCAATCAAGGCAGAGCCTTCCAAGTCAACAGCTCCAAGAAAGAGTTCAGATTCCAGGGGGACCCCACTCATTTCATCCCCACAAGCCCAACCTGAAGAAAGAGAGGGGGCCCAAAGTCACCCACTGAAGTTGGGGGTGGGGAACTGAGCCGATGCCTCTTGGATCCCAGCCCCACGTCCTCCCCAGAACATCATAGCGGCCTTCCTTGTGTGACCCGCACTGAACCGAAAGCCCAGGCCGCTGACCTGCTGGTGCACAGTCAGGAGAAAGAAGGAAATGGGGTGTCCCAGAAGGGGAAAGCCACCACCACCACCACCTCTGGCAGAGGCAGGACGCAGGAGGCAGGGTGGGAGCCCTGGAGCACCCAAGTGGGTGGGAACCGGACTTCAGGTCCTTCTCTGGTGCTTTGGCGCTCAGGCTGCCCTTCGTGAGCAAAAGAGGGATTTCTGTCCCTGGCTGAGTTATGGCCTCTCCTTACCTTAGGCAGAATGGGGACGGGGCAGATGTTGCTGAAGATGACCGAGCCAAGAGAGCCGTAGACGCCATCGTTAATGTGGTAGACAAAGCTCTTCTTGCCCTCAGCATCTTCCTCTGAGGAGACCAAAGGGCAGCCACAGTCAGGGAGACCTTGGGAGACAGAGGATGGGAAGCCCCCAGACAGGTGGATTCTGCAAGGTGGGTGGGTGGGTGGGT